ATGATTTACGCCACCATCAATTTTTCTTCAAGAAATTCTTCTCTAAGTGGTGGGTCGGATGTGGAAAGGGGAATTCGACTCAAATGATCCGCTACCAGATTTTTGCATCCCTTTTTGTCTTTAATTTCCAAGTTAAACTCTTGTAATAGCATGATCCATCGGATAAGCCTTGGTTTTGCTTCCTTTTTGTTCAACAAATATCTTATAGTTGCATGATAAGAAAAAATAGTAATTTTAGTGCCAAGCAAATAAGATCTAAATTTTTCTAAAGCAAAAATTATAGTAAAAAGTTCTTTTTCCGTAGTCGAATAATTTTTCTAAGTCGAGTCCAAAGTTCGGGATGCATAAGATATGACATGTGGCTCTTTTCCTATTTTTGGCCGAGAACAGCTCCAACGCTAGTATCCGATGAGTCACATATAAGTTCAAAGGGGTAATTCCAATCTGGCAACTGAACAATTGGAGTTGAAATAAGTCTTTCCTTTAATGAATTGAAGGACTCATTGCATTTTGAATTAAAGTCAAAGTCTTGATCCTTTTGAAGTATATTGCATAAAGGTTGTGCTATATTCGAAAAGTCTTTAATAAACCTGCGGTAAAATCCAGCATGGCCAAGAAAAAAAACAAATTTCCCTCACATTTGTGGGGTAAGGAAGTGAACGTATAATATATGTTTTAGACTTATCAACCACAATCCTTTTTGAAGAAACAATATGACCTAAAATTAACCCTTTATCAACCATAAAATGACATTTTTCATAGTTCAAAACAAGGTTATATTCTAAGAACCCTTTAAGAACACTAGTTAGATTATCAAGACATTCACTAAAAGAATTACCATAAATCGTGAAGTCATCCATAAAGACTTCGATGACTTTTTTCGACATAGTCAGAAAATATACTTAACATGCACTTTGGAAGGTGGCTGGTGCATTACAAAGACCAAAGGGCATACCTCTATGTGCAAATGTATCGCAGGAACAAGTAAAAGTCATTTTTTCTTGATCCTCTGGTGCTACTGGATTTGGAAAAAAACCTGAAAAACTATCAAGGAAATAGTAATGAGTTTTCCCAGCTAATCTTTCAATTATTTGGTCTATAAAAGGAAGAGGAAAATGATATTTTTGAGTAAGAAGTTTAACTTCCTATAATCAATAAAAACTCGTCATCCTGGATTATAAGTATTGTTGTATGGGTTGTATTGTCTTTGTGGAGGACTTGGAAAGTTCCCTACGACATTGATTTCTGCATTACCTCCTACTTGTATCAGCAGCCATCAATCCGTCGTATGGTCTAGCTTTGTGCATATCCCACATGCTCTTGTTGCTCTAGATTTTCTTGCAACAAGTGAATTAACTACTTCAGTTAATTTATCTAACTTATTTTCAAGGGAAAATGTACTTATTTCGTGAACTTGTCAGCTGGGTTCACTTGAAAACTGTTGAGAGTTGGCTACCATGGTTGAAATCAATTCTTGCTGTTGTTGGGGTTGACTAATGCTCCTCCACTGGCGGCATCCACCATTTTCATCTCCATTGGTAAAAGGTCTTCATAAAAGTATTGAAGTAACGTTTGCTCACTTAATCCGTGTTGCGGACAACGTGCGCAAAGTTTTTTAAATCGTCCCCAATAGTCATAAAGACTTTCTTCAGTATTTTGTTGAATGGAAAGAATGCTCATTCGTAATTCGCTCTCTTAAGCCGCTGGAAAGAACCTGTCAAGAAAAATCCGATTCATGTCAGCCCATGAATTAACTGAATTAGGAGGTAAATAAAATAACCATCTTTAGCCAAGTCGGCTAAAGAGAAAGGGAAAGCTCTCAATTTAATTTGAACTTCAGTAACTCTCTGTGGTTTCATGCTAGTGCAAACCATGTGGAATTCCAACAAGTGTTTGTATGGATATTCAGTGGGAAAGCCGTGAAAGATGGGAATAAGATGAATAAGTCTTGTCTTTAATTGAAACGGAGTCCCGCCACTAGGAAAATTGATGCATAGTGGCATCTGAGTGACAGAAGTTGCGGCTAGCTCTCAGATTGTTTGTTCTCCTTCTGCCATCAGGATGTTGTATGTGTCTGCTTCAGAGTCTGTCTCCGGATTTGGTTATGTTTTTGAACTCTGCTCTTGTTTTTCTTGTCTTTTTCTCTTTTCTCGAAGCATTTTTGCGTGGATTCTTCGTGCTCGTGCTTCGATTTACGAATCTAGATCTGCTAATTCATTTGAGTTTATTCTGGTCATAAATCAAAAACTAGAAAAATAAATCATTACTTGTCGTTAGTTCCCGACAATGATGCCAATTTGATAACCGTCATTTTGCTATCAAAATAATTTCGGCTTCTTAATAAATAGAAAGGAAAATGTAGTATAGAGAAGTAGGGTCAATCCACGGGAACTATGATTTTTATGATTTAGCAAAACTCTTTGATTTAGAGAATGATAGAATTCCATATGAAGTTTGAAATAAAATAAATAATTATAATTTAAAAATAAAAATAAAATAAGTAATAATAAATAAAAAGAGAAATAATAAATTAATAAATAATAGTAGTAAAGATAAAAATATGTTTTAAAAGTTGTTTTTAAAATAAAAGATAAGAATTAAATAAAAGAAAATAATTAAATAAATAATCTAAAGAGATTGAGATAAAGAGAAACTTATAGTGAAAGCAACATCAGACTTCAGCTTTGCCTCAAATTCCTTGGATCATCGAAACAGATCTTTACTTCAAGATTCACGTCGGCTTACAAGGACAATTATTCGTTGCCGACTCGGATTATGTTGTTTCAACAATAACTGGTTCCGATCTCAGTTTCCTCTTAGCAAACAATTTTGCTAAGTGTGCTCTCGGGAAGTCGAATATGCTTCAATAAGCAAATCCTTCTTCAAACGTTAACCATAACATCATCCAGACCAATGTTGAAATCGTTTTGATTTGAAAAGTAAGCTCAGAAAACAGAGAAAGAAATCTGAAGCGATTTAATTTAGAATTGAGCCTTCGCTTTAGCCTTCGTCTTAAAATAAAATTAGCTAAGCATGACCAAAGTCATACTTAGCATAATTGTTAAAAACAAAATTTAAAAGAAAATAAAGAAGTGTACAAAAAATAGAGAGAAAACTAGAGAAAAAAATAAGATTTAATTCTCTGAGGGAGATATATTTCTAGGCTCACCCTTAGAGGGTATTTATAGCCTTCAAATTCCTAAAAATAAACTAAAGATAATTCCCAAAATAATATCTTTTTTCCTAATAAAAACACTTAAAACTATTTAAACTAAAATACCTAAAATAAATATAAACTAAAAATATTATTTAAAATAATATCCTAAATCATAATTGAAATAGTAAAACCTATTTAAACTAAAATACAAAGATAAAATATAATGTTTTAAATATTATCCTAAACTTGAGTTTGATTCAAATCCGTATTCCATAAACGTGCTACCAATTCATTCGTTCTTCTAGAAACGCTGACTGAATCTTCTAGAAGGTGTTGATGTCATCGCCTCGTCGGATGTTTCGTGCCCGAATTCATGCCACTAATCCAGCTTCGATTCCGAAAATAAAAAAATTGCAGAATTCTTTCCTTTTAGTGCAATTTCCAGAATCTGACGTCCTGCATAGAAAATGAATGAAAATGAACAATTAAGCTACAGAAACCAATGATTAAGGAGTAATTTAAAAGTAAAATATTAACTAAATTAAGCACTTATCCGCCTTCATATCTGCAATAGAGAAGAAGGGTAACATAAGAATAATGCCAAACAAAATCATGGCAGCTACTCCATACTCGACTCCCGGTGCGATTTTGATCGGCGACGCGTTTACATGCATCACGCTTTAACCATAGGTGGAATGACGGTTGAACTATCTGATGTTTTTTACTAAGGGATCTTCAAAGACCTCTGCAAGATCTATCCGATCCGTTCACCGTCTGCAAATATCTCGAGTCCTTTTATACTCTGAGGAAGGTATTGTAATCCCATGTTTGATAAACATTTCGAAAGTGAACGACATTGAGAAAAAAGGGTATAATTTCGAACTTTAACCGTATTTGCAGCCGATGTTATCCACAATAAACACATTGGCCAATGTCCTACACAAGATGCTGAGTGCCTCGTCTGATCCTGCAACGGAGGATATCCAGCAAGCATGCTTCAATTGTCTGAGACTCGGAGGCGTATTCACATACGGACTGTCGGCTCTACACTCCAGTTTAAGCCCTCGTCCATTATGCTTGGCATTCCATTTCTTGGCCATTGCAATTGATGCTGTTGGCCTAATGTTTCTTCTGTTTCCTTCCCCAAAACGCTTGTGGAATAGAGTTAAACTCTTCTGGGTCAGTCTCTTTACTAAACAATTCTTCTGCAACATGAACATGATGTAAATACATGAATTACCATGATATTTTCTATTGTTTTCCAGGTTGGATCAAGCATTGTTCTTCCTTTTATACAGTCTGAGGGGGTGAGGCAAATGTTTTTTCCTTTAACTGTGCCTGCATATTATAGAACTCCCCCTGGAAATGAGAGAAAACCTTGAGAAAAAGCTCCTTTGATCGATTAACAGCATATTCAGAGCAATTTCATGTTTGTTTCGGTGGGTTTGGTAATGTTTACAGCAATGTTGTTTACAAATTGTTGCTAATACTTGTAAGAGTACATATCAACAAGCCTCGTCAAGTATAATGTGTTTCTCACAAATTAAAATAATATGTCAACATGATCTTAATCTTTTTTCTGGTCTTTGTTTGTAATTTACATGCATGAAGATGATGGTCCTTACTCTATTATATATCCAAAAATAAAAATATGATATATATTGTGTAACCTCGATTTATATTTAAAAATAGTCTATACTCTAAATAACTCGAATAAGTACATCTAAATAAAAGCTTAACTCAAATTTCAATTAAAACGGGATGTTGAGAGAATGATGCAGGCTCACGTGGATAAAGAGTGTGCTTGTGTAATGCCATGCATATGCATGCAACTCATGCATGTTCACTGGAACATTGCACGATAAGCCAAGTGTTTGCCATCAGGGAGCTGGATTCGGCTTGCGCTAGGAGGATGAACAAGTACTTTCTTTACTGGTGGTGCCGATACATCATGTGCACCATTCAAATTTAGAGCTGAAAGTGCAAGGATGAAAACAAAGAAGATAACAGGCCAAGCGTGAATAGGATCATGTTCCTGAGGCAAGAACTCATTCAAGAAATTCAACCGACTGGAGACCTTAGCCACGGGTCCACCAAGCTTCTGAACTATAAACGAATCCTCAGTAACTTTCGATTCCAAAAATTCCTTCACTTGTTCCGTTTGCTGCAAAACATCTCTACATCCTCTTCCAAGCTCTAGAATCATCTCGCACCATGATTTTAACAATTCCTTCACTTGTTCCTTCAAGGCCTCTGGCGGTTCCATTTCATGATCACTCTCAGCAACCGCCGTCAGTTTCTGATCAGTGAACGGCGGTAACGACGGGAAAATTATTTCCTCAGTGTATATTATCCTCGAATCTTCCACCAAACTCGCCAGCTCCTCCCGCCACGCGTCCAATCCTCTCACTTCTGTAATGAAATCAAAAACCTTCTCCAAGAATTCAACGGAATTCACTGGATCCAAGCTGGTAGTGAACGACACCGGTTTAGCAGCCGTTGCCACTGTCGAAGATGCCGATGGCATTTTCTCCTCCTCTTCCATACAGTGGAAGAAAACAAAATAAAGTCAGCAAGCCATAACAGCTTCAGCGGAAGAAAAATGAACCAGGATCTTTTTGGCGAATGATACCATATTGGAATATTGCAGGACTTGTTTCAAGATGCAAGGAAAGAGTTCTTTAATTCATTGTTTCGTTCACAAGAAGTCTACTCAACACAGTATACAATAACAACCTAGCTTCTAGACTAACTTTTAGAACCTGAACATGCATGATGCATATGCATATGCATATGCATGGCATTACACAAGCACACTCTTTATCCATGTGAGCCTGCATCATTCTCTCAATATTCTCCCTGCTTTCTCAACATTCTCGATGAAAAGATGAACAATTGAATCGAAAGTGCTGACGCTTTCTTCTGTTCACTTGAATCGAAAGTGCCGAAGCTTCCTTCCGTTCACTTTGAATCGAAAGTGCTGATACGGGAAAATAACTAATCTACTTCATTATATATTATCATATAGATCAATACTGTTCATACAATAATTAAAAACTAAAAAGATTAATTATCTAAAGTAAAGCAGTAATCATACCTTCAATGATGCATAGAGTTCATTAACAATCTAAGTCAGGACCATGACCAAAATTAAAACATTCAATATCAAGACCGAAATCACCATAACCACTCGACTCTCCGACGACAAAACCACCGTTTTGGACGGAAAAACTGGTGGCTGCTGCGGCGGTGAATATGTCCCCCATCAACTCATTAGCCATGCTAGCCACACTGTTCCTCAGCTCCTCCATTGCTTTAGCATAAGCTTCAAGTTCCTCAATCCCCATATTATCATCAATAGGGTCAACTTTCCCCTTCTCTTCGTTCTCTTTCTCGATCTCTTTGATTCGTTTCTTTTCGACCTCTAGTTTTTCCAACGTCTCTTGACACTTCGAGAACGTTACTTGAAGACTGCTTTTGTTCACGAGTTTCTTTATCTGAATTTTCTGACGGCCTAGAGTTGTCTTGGTGCTAGTGTTGCTACCCTTCAGAGCTGCCATGGTTAAACCTAGTAAGCTTTGGGAGATTATAATTATGCCTTAACAAGTAACTACCTTTTCTCATAATCAACTTCTAAAATTTATAAACAAAAAAAGAAATCTTTTATTAAAGTACTTACCAATGATTCTCCAATATTTTGTTTCCAAATTAAATGGAGTATTATATTATTTTTTTCAAATAAATAATAATCAAAAAGTTGTTCTAGAATTAAATAAAATTATATTTTTTCTACTTTTTTGGAAAATTATACGATTTTGGGAGAAAAATAATAATTATACGATAAATTTGATTTTATTTTAACTTTATGACTAAAAAAAGTATAATAAAAAGTTTAATACATTGTTTAATTTGGTTATATTTGATTTTCAATTTTTCCAGTTAAATTGTTATATTTTTAATGAAAATATTAATTAAATTATAAAATTTTAATTGTGCTAGCGTGACAATTTTATACAATAATTCACATTTATGTTGTTATTGACGTGATATTATTTTATTGACTTGAATTTCTCACTCGTCTTATATTGTTTTTTTAATAAAATATTTATAGTTTTTTATAATTTTAAAATTATTTATTAGTGTGATATATAAGATAAAATAGTATCATTTAAGTGATAAAATTCGTATGCACTAACATGCAATGTTGTGATAAAATATTTCTATTTTTTAATGAGCTTCATGCTAATGTTTTTTATACGACTCTTCTATCTTAATCATACATTATAACCTTTCAAAAAGAAAGCTCTTACAAATTTTAACATGATATGATCATATTCTTTATTTTTATTTTTGGTAAACGACGACTAAAAGTTACAATTAGTTATCTCCCGAGTTTCGGAAGTCTTTTTTGACTATCGCAGTTACCTCTTCGGGTGCAGCCTCGAACATTATGCACTCATACGTGTCCCTTTGCGCCAACTTCGCTATACCATCCGCAACATGATTCCCTGATCTGAAGACATAACGAAAACATTCTTACCAATCCTTCCTCAAAACCTCGACAATATATACAAATATCTTGACCCTCCACGTTCCATCATCCATGCCATGAATCATCTTCAAGGTCCCCAAACTATCGATCTCAACAATCACACGACGAAAACCCATCCTCCAAGAGCATAATAAACCAATATAGACACCCCAGAGTTACACCTCCGCATCAGAACAAATTAATTGTTTTCTCTCAATTCTTTGAACAATAATTTGAATTGGTTACCATTGTTAATAACATAAGAGACATCGTTAATTATCTTTCATCTTATCAATTTTTCTTTATTTCTTATGTTCATCCATTTTTTATATCGATTTGTTCAAATCGATAGATGATTCAGTTACCAACAATCTTAATTAAATTAAAATTTATATAATTTTGTATTATAAAAAAAATATATAATTATTATACAATCCCGAAGTTTTCCCCCTAAAAAATTAATTAATTACATATTATATAACCCAAAAAGATTTTTGGTTGTAAAAAAATATTAATTATTGCCTTAAATCGATGTTTAATTAAGCCTTAATTAAATGTAATAATGATATAATTCTCATAATTATCCAAAATTTTATTCCCCATGATTATGGTTTGTAACAGGATAAATAGTACAATCTATTTAAAGTTGCATTGTTTGTTTATTTTATAATATCTTAAGTATTAATTCTTTAAAACCATATATTATAAATTCACTAATTTAAATACGAGTTGTCTATAAAAAAGATAAATTTTGTTGAAGTCGATATCACATAAAGACAATTTTAAATAACTTTCATGTAGACGATTTTATAGCAGAGATATTAATTCTTTGATCGACAATTGTCAATATATTAATATATATATATATATATTAAAATTCGATATAATTAATTAATTGTAAAATTCATGTATTTCATAGATTATTTTTTATTCACCATTTTTCTAAAAAAACGACCGTTGTTTCACGGGGGTTTCGAAACCAATAGGAAGTTTTAAAAACAGAAAGGGGTTTTTGAAATTGGCGTGAAATTTTGACAAATTGAGCTACTACCTCAGAGGTTTCGAAACCATGTAAGGGTAGTTTCAAAACTTGCCTGAAAATATTGAAAAATTAATCTTGTTTCATCTTTCAAAATTATTTTAAGACTTTGTAACTTTCTAAAACATTTATAAACTTATTTTTGACATCTTTAACTCTTGAAAATTATTTCTGTACACTTTGGAATTTTTTATCGGATATAATAAAATATTATTTTTACAAAAAATTTATTTCAATTCTCTGTAATATGTAAATCATTTGATCATATTTATCAATCTCCGAACTATGAGCCTTATTCTAACTCAATTCTTAAATTTTTAAATATTTTGATTTCATCCTCAAACTTTAGATATATATTAATCATTCCTGAAGTTAATAAAATCATTAAAAATTATTAACTACTATAAAACATCGATGTGTTTTGTGCCATAATATGATTTGATACAAATAATAATTAATATTATTTCACTTTCCCAAAATATTAAATAGAATAAAATTGAAAGGTTCTTTAATTTTTGCTTTTATTCTCTCGATTTATTAATGATTATTTTGTAGACACTTATTTTCGTCCAGTGATTTATTTTGAATTTTAATCTAGGATTTTATCAAAGTTTTATGTAATATATATTAAATATGCTATAGTATAGTTTTTAATATATATATATATATATATTATACAGTAGGTATTATATTATTATTTTTGTTGTTTTATTTTTAATTTTTAGGTTCGTTCCAATCTAGTTTCAGGTTCCAATTCCATGTTTACTAACCAAGTCAATGTCAAAGTCTAAGCTCAACCGAGCAATACAAGCTTCACCAAGCAAGCAAACCTAGTCAGGAAACCCATGTGCAGAATTAGGATTTCATATTTAAGCATTAGCATCATATGACTCACAACCATTCGATCAAACCATAATTTGATGGTTTAGATCACGTGGTAATTAGGGTTATGAAACCTTAAAAGCCTCGCATAGCCAATCTAGGGTTGTTAAATCTAACCCTTTGATCCAATGGTCAGAAAACATTTAGAGAACCCAAAGGTCATTGGTTGGTCAAAGAAAGACGCGTGAAGACCATGCGTTGGCGAAATAACCCCACAATGTAACATCCTAATCCAATTCAAAGGTCATCAAATTTCGATGTTACATGGAACCACGTGAGTAACTAACCATTTTTTTAAAAATGTTTCATGAAGGTAACATCCATAAAATTTAATTACCAGAAAAATACAAAATATAAGTGTTTAAATACGAGGAGCTCCCAACATAAATCTCCAAAACATATCATTAATTTAAAATACAAAGTTTATGACTCAAGATACAAATAAGGGACTATGACAGTACATGCCCTCTAAAACTCTCAAAACGTACTTTGAAGAAGTTAAGTATGGAATCTGAATCTAGTGAAGAGCTTCTCAACTGGCACTTACTGGCCTGCACACGGAAACACATTCCATAAGTTGAGCTTACAAGCTTAGTGCCACAAAGATAACCAAGCTATACTACATGCATCCAATAAATAAGTTGATACATTATAGTCATAAATAATGCAAAACTCCAAGAAATAGTAAGTATCATAGTGTAGTTTGGGGTTACATAGAATCACAGAGATCGCATCTCTCTTTACTTACAATACTTAAGGAAGACCTAGGTTATACAGCATCAGTGTCTCCTTAACACTCGGGTCAAGTCTGGGTCATAAAGCATCGACACTTACCCGGCTAGCCTACTCTTTAAGAGTACTCGGGATGTGCCCGGGTCACGTAGCATCGACACTACATCCAACTAGTATTTTAAGTGCCCAAGCACTTTCTTAGATATATCTGAATATTTTAGACATGTAACACTCACATTGTTAAGTGACTTGAGTGTCTTCATCATTTCCTCGAGTATCAAACAAGGCTAGTTTTATGTCACTTTATTTCGTAGAGTTATTAGTCGAGCTTGATTATTATCATTAGTTTTTGGATTTAGGG